ATGATTTATATATGGTTGTTGAGAATGACACACACAACTGCTATTGTGCTTTGATTGGATTAACAAACATGATTGAACAATGACACTGTTATGGACCTAAGGTCGTTCTGTCTCTGTTAATAAAAGTGGGCCTGAGGCCGTTATGATGTAAATTGATTATGATTCATGGCCAGAGGCTAAGGGAGGTAGTGTACATGTCGATGTTCTACTTACCCTACAATGTGTAGACAGCTGTCGTTATCTGGGCTTAAAGCCGCTTTGTATCATGTCTGGGCTTAAGGCCGTTATGTATCATATCTGGACTTACGGCCGTTTTGTATCATATCTGGGCTTAAGGCCGTTCTATATCATATCTGGGCTTAAGGCCGTTCTGTATTTTATATGGGCCCGAGACCGTTCTGTATTATATATGGGCCCGAGACCGTTCTGTATTATATATGGGCCCGAGGCTGTTCTGTATTACATGTGGGCCTGAGGCCGTTTTAAAATATGATTATGAATAAGATCTGTGTATAGATTGATATGCATATTTACATTCTCTAAGTCTATGTTCAATTAATTAACCTCCTTACATTGCTATTATTCACTGAGCGTTGCTCACTCCGTTTTTATATATATATTTATGTAGGTGAGCCACCGGGGATCGACATTAGAATTCTATTGAGATCCGTCTGTTTGCCAAGCTACCTGGGGTACGCCTCCATATTGAGGCCTTAATTTTGGTTACTGGGAGTTATGTAATTTATGGAGTCTTATGTAATTGTGTGTGAGATCTATATAAATTCTATGATTGTATATGTAACTCTGGGAATGTATTTAAATGCTTAAATCTAATTAAGCCATCATGTATGCACCAGCTCAATGGATGTTGTCTTTTATTGCTATTGCTTCCGCTTAAGGCCCCATATTTGGTTAAATATTATTTTAAAATTCTGTTTGAGGCCTATATATGAGCCTGTCATGAACCAAACTTTTAGGGGCGGGTTTGTATATGTAACTCTGGGAATGTATTTAAATGCTTAAATCTAATTAAGCCATCATGTATGCACCAGCTCAATGGATGTTGTCTTTTATTGCTATTGCTTCCGCTTAAGGCCCCATATTTGGTTAAATATTATTTTAAAATTCTGTTTGAGGCCTATGTACGAGCCTGTCATGAACCAAACTTTTAGGGGCAGGTTTGGGTCGTGACACAACTCATCTGTCGAGTCAACTAGCCCCGAAAATGGATGGCTCTTAAGCGTGCGACCTACACCCGGCCGTCGGGGCAAGTGCCAGGCCCCGATGAGTAGAACGGTACAGCGGTCACTGCGAAACATTGGGCACGAGCCCAGGCGCGAGCTGCCGTTGGTGCAGATCTTAGTGACAGTAGCAAATATTCAAATGAGAACTTTGAAGGCCGAAGAGGGGAAGGTTCCATGTGAACGGCACTTGCACATGGGTTAGTCGATCCTAAGAGTCTGGGGAAGCTCAACAGAGAGCGTGTTCAGCGCAAGCTTCGAAAGGGAATAGAGTTAAAATTCATAAACCGAGATGCGGCGGCTGACGGCAATGTTAGGGAGTCGAAGACGTCGGCGGTCGCCTCAGGAAAAGTTATCTTTTCTGTTTAACAACCTGCCCACCCTGGAAATGGCTCAACCAAAGGTAGGGTCCAGTGGCTGGAAGAGCACCATACATCGAGTGGTGTCTAGTGGGCCCCCGACAGCCCTTGAAAATCTAGAGGATCAAGTGCCTCCTATGCCCAGTCGTACTCATAACCGTATCAGGTCTCCAACGTGAACAGCCTCTGGTCGATGGAACAAGGTAGGCAAGGGAAGTCGGCAAAATGGATTCGTAACTTTGGAAAAAGGATTGGCCCTGAGGGCTGGGCACGGGAGTCCCAGTCTCGAACATATCGGCTGTCGGGGGACTGCTCGAGCTGCTCCCGTGGTGAGAGCAGGTCACTGCGTGCCGGTCGGGGGAAGGACTGGGAGTGAGTCCTCGTGGGACATTCCTCGGGCAACGAACAGTAGACTCAGAGCTGGAACAGACAAGGGAAATCTGACTGTTTAATTAAAACAAAGCATTGCAATGGTCCCTGTGGATGCTCACGCAATGTGATTTCTGCCCAGTGCTCTGAATGTCAAAGTGAAGAAATTCAACCAAGTGCAGGTAAACAGCGGGAATAACTATGACCCTCTTAAGGTAGCCAAATGCCTCGTTATATAATTAGTAACGCGCATGAATGGATTAATGAGATTCCCACTATCCCTGTCTACTATCTAGCAAAACCACAGCCAAGGGAATGGTCTTGGAAGAATCAGCAAGGAAAGAAGACCCTGTTGAGCTTAACTCTAGTCCGACTTTGTGAAATGACTTGAGAGGTGTAGCATAAATGGGAGCCGGAAATGGCAAAAGTGAAATACCACTACTTTTAACGTTATTTTACTTATTTTGTGAATCGAAAGCGGGGCATTGCCCCTCTTTTTGGACCCAAAGCCCACCTCGGTGGGCTGATCCGGGCAGAAGACATTGTCAGGTGGGAAGTTTGGCTAGGGCAGCACATCTGTTAAAAGATAACGCAGGTGTCCTAAGATGAGCTCAACGAGAACAGAAATCTCGTGTGGAATAGAAGGGTAAAAGCACGTTTAATTTTGATTTCCAGTATGAATACGAACCGTGAAAGCATGGCCTAACGATCCTTCAGACCTTCAAAATTTCAAGCTAGAGGTCTCAGAAAAGTTACCACAGGGTAACTGGCTTGTGGCAGCCAAGCGTTCATAGTGACATTGCATTTTGATCCTTCGATGTCAACTCTTCCTATCGTTATGAAAAAGAATTCACCAAGTGTTGGATTGTTCACCCACCAATAGGGAATGTGTGTTGGGTTTAGACCGTCGTGAGATAGGTTAGTTTTACCGTACTGATGACAGTGTCGCAATAGTAATTCAACCTAGTACGAGAGAAATCGTTGATTCGCACAATTGTTCATCGCGCTTTGTTGAAAAGCTAGTGGCGCGAACCTGTCGTGTGCTAGATTATGATTGAATGCTTCTAAGTCAGAATCCAGGCTAGAAGCGACGCATGCGCCCACCGCAAGCTTGCCTACCCGCAGTAGGTGCTGTTCGGTCCCCAAAGGCACGTGTCGTTGGTGAAGCCCGCGTGGCGGATGAACCGTGCGGGCCACCTTGATGTACAATTCCTATCTCGAGCGGCAGGTAGAATCCTTTGTAGATGACTTAAATACGCGACGAGGTATTGGAAGTGGAACACATAATACAACCCAAGTACGCGCCTTGAGACATGAAAGGGATTCACGTGCGTGTCGAAACGAAATTCCTAAAGCCTAAAAGGATTGCTAACACTTTACGACAAGTTGTATGATGGAAGCATAGGGCTGAACGAAGGCTTTAATCTGCGCGGCGGCCTAGGCTACGACACTTGGCAAGGCCGTGGCCTGGCTATTAAGCGCGTGGCCAGAGCCGTGTCTAAGGTTGCGAGAGCGGCCTGGTTTGAATGCCTGTGGCCAAGGCTATAGCACTTGGCAAGGTCTCAGCCTCACTTGCATGGGCGCTGCTGGGCACGCGTGCACTCGGCCTGGGCCGTGGCACTTGGAAAGATGTCAAGGTGTGCCCATACAAGTGTCAACACCTTGATGCCACACACATTTGTGGCATTCAGAGAGCCAAAGACATGCCCAAGAAGTTGTTATGGAAAGTGCAAGCAAAGGCCCCAGTCATAGTTCAAGAACAACCCAAGGTATGCCAAGACATAGCACATGCTAGGCCGCAGCCAGAAGCCAACAACAACCAGTAGTAATCCAGTCCGCAACCAGCAGTAGCCTAGGCTACGACTCAGTAGCAGCCCAGGCCGTGGCCCAGGCAGCTAAGGCAGCAGCACAGGCCGCAGCCAAGGCAGCTGTTAAATGTATAGATGAGAAGAAGAAGAAGAAGAAGAAGAAGAAGGAATAGAACAAGAGAAAGCTTCTGTAGATTATTGATTCAAAACCTAGGGTTTCCCCCTTACACACAACTACTTATACTAATAAGAATAATACATAAAGACCAAACTAACTACTTATACTAATAAGAATAATACATAAAGACCAAACTACCCCTAACACTTAACACTCCCCCTCAAGTTGGTGCAAAGATGTTTCTCATGCCCAACTTGCAACAAATAGAGTGAAAGACTTTAAGGCAGCATCCCAAGCCATAGCTAAGGAAGCAATACAAGCCTCATCCTTGGCCAACAGCATAGGCTGTAGCCTTGGCCAGCATGCCGTAGCCTTGGCCAGCAGGCTGCAACACCGGCCACTACCTTAGCCAGAAGCACAGGCCTTAGCCTTGGCCAACATGCTATAGCACAGGCCGCAACAATGGCCAGTATCCTGCAACATAGGCTGTAACCTTAGCCAGCATACTGCAACCTTGGCCAGTAGGCTGCAGCACAAGCCACTGCCTTGGCCAAAAGCACAGGCCTTAGCCTTGGCCAGCAAGCTGCAGCACAGGCCACAACATTGGCCAATATCTTACTACATAAGCCTCAACCTTAGCCAGCATCCTGTAGCACAGGCCGAAGCCTTAGCCAGCAGCATAGGCCCCAGCCTTGGCTAGCATGCTGCTAAACAGGCGGCAACCTTGGCCAGCATGCTGCAGCCATGGCCAACATGCCGTCACATAGACCGCAGCATTTGCCAGCAGCACAGGCCGCAACCTTGACCAGCATGTCACAACCATGGCCAGCATGTTGTAGCACAGCCTGCAGCTTGGCCAACAGCCCAGGCCGCAGCCTTGGCCAGTAGCCCATGCCCCAGCCTTGGCTAGCATGCTGCAGCATAGGGTGCTGCACTTGGCAAGGTGTCAAGGTGCGTCCATCCAAAGGTCAACACCTTGATGCCACACACATTTGTGGAATTCAGAGAGCCAAAGGCATGTCCAAGAAGTTATTGGTGCAAGTGCAAGCAAAGGCCCCAGTCACAGTGCAAAAATAGCCCACGGCATGCCAAGAGATAACACATGCTAGGCTGCAGCCAAGGCAGCCGCACTGGCCACAGCCCAAGCCACAACCAAGGAAGCAACATTGGTCGCAGCATAGGCTGCAGCCAAGGTAGCAGCATAGGCCAGGCCAAGGTAGCAGCAGAGGCCAGGCCAGGTCGCAACCAAGGCGACAACACTGCCCACAACACTGGCCGCAGACACCGCAGTAGCCCAAGCTGCAGCCAAGGCAATAGAACTGGTCCTAGCTAAGGCAGTAGCTAAGGCAGCAGCATAGGCTGCAGCCAAGGCAGTCGCACGGACCGAAGTATAAGTCGCAGCCAAGGCAGCAGCCCAGGCCGCAACCAAGGTAGTAGCACTGGTTGCTGCACAGGCCACAGCCGAGGCAGCAGCACAGGCCACAACTTTGGCCAACAGCACAGGTCACAGCCTTGGCTAATGTGCCGCAACCTTGGCCAGCATGCTGCAGCACAAGCCACAGCCTTGGCCAACATGCAGCAGCATAGGCCGCAACCTTAGCGAGCAGCATAGGCCACAGCCTTGGCCAGAAAGCCAAAACCTTGACTAGCATGCTGCAACATAGGGCACTGCCTTGGCTAGCAGCACATGCCGTAGCCTTGGCCAGCAGCACAAACCACAGCCTTGATCAGCATGCTGCAGCACAAACCGTAACCTTGGACAGCAAGCCACAGCCTTCGCCAGCATGTTGCAGCATAGGCCGCAGCCTTAGCCAGCATGCCACAACCTTCGCCAGCATGTAGCAGCACAGGCCGCAACCTTGTTCAGCAGCATATGCAGCAGCCTTGGCCAGCATTCTGCGGCACAGGCCGCAGCCTTGGCTAGCAGCGCAGGCCGCAGCCTTAGCCAACCTGCCACATCCATGGCCAACATGCTGTAGCACAGGTCGCAGCCTTGGCCAGCATGTGTAGACCGCCCTGAGAACTCTCAGCTCTCTGCGCCGGCGAGGGCGCTAATTCGTTTTGTTCTGAGCTACTATAGTTTGGACTCAATGTCACGGTTCTGAATCCAATATCGCTAAGTGCAATGCCTGATTGATAAATCTCCAAAGAGTCCAAATCCGACAAATCGTTTTGGAAAACTAATTTTTATAAAGAAGTGCCAAACATGGACTGCTTTGCCAGATACAGAGT